CAGTAAATACTTAAAATGGATGCAAATTTAAAAGGAAAGAGATCAGTTTCTTAACCCAATTAATTATAAATATAGCTGGACTGTTTGACCATACAAACAAAGCAAGAATACTCACCCAAATCATCAAACGCCGGGATAGAGGGAGTATGAAAGCTCGCCCGAACAGGGAAATCCTGAGCAGAAGTAGAGCGTTAGGCTCTTCCTACCATAATGATCCTTTCTTTCCATTCTTTATCAAAAGTATTGAGATCGGAAAAGAGAGACCTACCAGTCCTAGAGTGAAAATGGCACCTACCCTTTTCGCCCTTTATTCTATTTATTGAATAGCAGAAAAGAAAATCAGCAAAATTTAAGGTCAGTCCACGAACTCGATTCAAAGCCAGAAGGCAAGAAAGGATGCGGAAGAAATCAGGATTAACCTGAAAAGGGGATAAATTCAGAACAAAAAACACATGGAGATAAAAAGGATTTAGGGAAAATCTAAAGGCAAACAACTGTCCAGCAGAGAAGAACATCTCATCCTCTCCCGAACCCTTACCGTTGTTGAAATTCAAGTTATGAGGATATTCCTCCAAGGTAACATCACGAGGGATCCTATTACTTCTTCTTAACTGAATGGTAGATAGTGATTTCGTCTCCATAATATCCAAGGGAAGGATTATAAGGCCCTAAGCATGATTCGGAGCACTTAAGATAACTTCCGGAGTCACCGATTTGGAATCAGATGCCCTAATAATAGGAGTACGTTCACTACTTTCTTGACCCATGAAGGAAGGACGAAGCAGAAGCAAAGAAAGAGCAAAATAAAAGTAAGCAAGAGAAAGACTAACCTTAACAATGGGGAGAAAACCGGAACAATTGTAGATGAATTTGTTCTTTAAGCCAAGTATTTTTGCAAGCATAGCCTATAGTGACAAAAAATCGCAATATATAAAGACGCAAAGCAAGTAACGAAGAGACAACAACATGAGATCCCAAACACACGGAATCCCAAACGGTAATGATGAGCAGTAACATCCGCAGAAAACCTCTCCACTTCCAAAAATTAGTACAATTCCTTACATAAACTTCATTTATAAAAGGAATTGGGGGCAAAGTGTGAAGGGAAATTTTCCCACCAATCGCAAGACACCATATGTCAATTAAAAAGAAAGACCCAATACTAATGTATTAGGCCAAAATCCTAATACTCAACCAAGCAACTAGCAATCTAGAAAGAAGACATTAAACATCAAGCCGGCTTGAATATAGGAGTAAAACCCAATAAGCCCAACCCAAAGTCAACACACTAAGAGTAACGCTCGGCATAAAAGAAAATCGAAAAGAATCAACATGAATCAATGCCCATGTATGAATCAGTCAATAACGGTCCCATAAAGATCTCTTGATAAAAATATAAATAAGGGGGCAAGACCCAAATGAAAGGCAAAGTCCTTTTTGCTTGTGTTCTTCCATAATCTTGTCTCTCTTGCTTTATTATTCTTCGGTTATTTGTTCTGAGCAATTTTGTATTGAGTATTCGGGTGTTTATTCCTCAAATTGGACTTCAGTGTTCTGTTCGAGATTTTTTGCAACTACACTTGGTCTCAAACCGACCCCAATCCCTACCTACGCTAACCGACTTTACCGAGGCGAGATTGATACTATCCCTGCTTTAATTTGATGACCATTTGGCCTAGTACCAACGTTACATGTCCTACACCGGACCGTGCTCCCTTTAGGTCAAGTTAGCACCGAGCTCGTGATACCCGGTCTATTTCTAAATTCGTCTTTCCCGCCCATTCTAAGATGGCTTATTCGTCAATCTCATTAAACTTTCTCACTATTCTAAAATGGCCCAAATGTCCTTCTAACTCAATTTTTCCACCATGCCATGCATATAATTCAATTGCATCGACTTGAATCCCAATTTCAATTATATGACAACTATGACATAAACTAGAAAATGAACACAAGTATAACATTGTTTATACATCAATTTCAAGCATGCTCATCAGAGGCTTCATATCCTCACAGTCATACTATTTTCACATATAGTCATCACCTCTATATGTAAGTAGGAATACAGACTCAATTAGCATGAAGTAACACATTTTTCATCACATATAGCATGCTTAGAACACCTTGTCACACAATTATCAACTTAATCACATACTTGTCATCTAATAATGAGATTCAAGTGAAATCATATAAGAATACTTAAATAAAGGTAAAGTTTGAAATATTAAACAACCCCTACCTCAAAGTGTGCTAGCCAAACAAGGCCTTACGGAAGCCCTAATTTCGAATTCCTCTAACCCCTTGCAATAGTGGTGTCAAAAGATAACCCTTTCCAAGCTCTTCCACTTTCCCTTTTATGGTATCATCAAAATCATACTATAACTCCTCCAAATCTAAGCTAGAAGCATGGAGGTATATGTGTGTATGTATAGATATAAAGAGAGAAGGAGAAAGCTCAAGAGAGAGAGAGAGAGGAGAGCGAGTTTGGCCGAGAATGTGGGGGGGGAGGGGGATTCCAATGCCAAAAATGTGCCAAATGTCAACAATTGGTGGATTACTAACTTAAGGCCAAGTTACCATCTTGCCCTCACCTTTTTATCACAATGCCATGCATGTCCCACAAAATATCTCTTCAATGTATAGATATAGGTCTATGTATATGTGTGAAATGTCCACAAAACTTCTCAATGAAAATGGTAAAAACGGAAAAAGTTTCCGAACTCAGAAATCGTCCCGACTTCTGAAAAAATTCTAAAAATGGTCGTGTCACTTCTAATTGACTTAAAATAATTAAAAATACTCAATAAAATGACTTAAACGGCCCTCGAGGCCTGTGGGGCACTTAAAACGAGACATGAAAAATAAATAAAATAAAAAATTTAAAAAAATCCAGAAAAATCCGGGACATTACAATTTGATCGAACATTTAGCAACTTTATGTCTTTTGACTTTTAAGACATGTGATTAACTTTAAGTATTCAAAATATAATTTAAACATCATAATACTTATGAGAAGGTTCTAGAAAAAAAATTTCTTGGTGCATACTCATATAACGTATCTTATGCAAGTTAAAACTTAACAAAATTAGCACGAATTCATTTTTTAGAAAACATTTTCATGTTACTCAAGGACATGATAAAAATCAATATGACAAGTATTAACACACTTAGCAAAACTCATCCTAAGCAATATTCACCTTCTATACAATTTCAGGAAAATATATATGAATATATATTTCACATATATTTAAGATCTCTAGAAACTCAATCTAAATATATATATATATATATATATATATATATTATGAAAATCATTTTTCATAAAATATATATAAATTAAATAAATAAATATATTATAGGATTTACTATGCAATAAATAGATACCATATGATCATCAATAATGTGTATGCATGTACCTAGATGGTGGTGATAGATGAAATTAAAGTATGATTTGTACCTTTTAAGTTCATATTTGAGAATATTACATCTTTGTCCTTTGAAATTGATCTTCGGACTAATCTGCCATTTGTAGTAGAACCTTGTACTGTTTTGCCTTTTGAGGAAGCTCTTAAACTATTTGCCAATCGTAGAAGAACTCTGGACTGTTTTGCCTTTTGATGAAGTTGTTTGACTGATTTGCTATTTGTTTAAGGTCTTGAACCTTTTTGCCTTTTTATGTAGTCATCTTCACTCAGCTTTGTCTTATACTTAAATCACCTAATTATTTTATTTTTATTTCACTCCATTAAACATAATCATTAATTTTGAATTACGAAATTTCTAACAGCCTTCACACTAACACCTAAATTTCTCTTACATGTCTACCATGTTTATCTTCACACACACACACATCCCTCATTGTATATTTTGACAAACAGTTTTTATACTATATACTCGTCACCAACTCTATTAAACTCATAAGACCTTCCAAACACGCTATGATATTAACCTCCTCATTTCTCTCCACCAAACCCTGATTTCACTAACAAATTTGATCCCAATCTTTTGCCCCCACCAAAATAAAATAAAATAAAATAAAAAAAAGTGAACAAATGGATTGCATAATTTCTTGTCAAATCCTCCAATACCCTCCAAGGGAGCAAAATCTATTACTATGCGAAAGAGAAACTCTAAGGCAAACTCTTGTACAAGCCGATCGATGAAAGCCGAGTTGTTGGGAATTCTTTGGCGGTCTCACGATGGCTCAAGATGATGAAACAAAGTGAATCCAATTGAGAATGCTATTAATGATTTATGGATTTGATTAATTTGTGAGTTTGAATTAAAAATTTAATTTAACTAATACGGTTAATATTATAAAATTACGGTTAATATTATAAAATTGCATGTTTCGTAATTTTTCAAAACTTTGTGATTTGACAAGGGAAGATATTTAAAATTTTCAAAACTCAGAACATCTCCATTGTCATATTCAAAATCTAACTCTCCAAATTTGCCACTTCAGTATTTTAAAGAGCTCCAAATTTTGAGTATTTTAAAGAGCTCCAAATTTTGACTATTGAATGTGCCACAATAGTATGCTTTTGCTACTAAAAAATAATAGTATTTTAAATATTTTAATATTCAATTTTTTTTTCCAACAACTTTATTTCTAATTCTAACATTTATGTTAAATAATACAATATCCATTATGGATAAAAAATAATTAAACAATACAATACCCATAATGGAATTTTTTTTAAAAAAAAATAACAATAAATGTCCGACAAATAGTGCTTTCAGTGTTGTACAAAAATCTTTTTATTTAAAAAAAATTAAAATTCAACTAATTTTTTTTTTTTAATGTCTAAAATATTATTTTGTTTGTGTCAGTCAAACAGTACTTGATTTTTTTTTTTAAATACCAAACATGCCATGAAGTCATGAACTTTCTCTTGATTTTCCTTATTTTATTCTCCTCCCTTTATCTGTGTCGAACCAAACAGAACATAAAAGCAAACACTAAAATTTGGAGCAGTATATAAGCGGCACTTAAATCCTCCGTCTTTTCAACAGTTCCGCAATTTGATGGCGTCTCCAACCGTCAATCTGTCAAAACTTTTGTCCTAAACTTCACTTAAAAACCCTAATCCCTCCCTCGCTCCCTTCTTTTGTTGTCTCTCGCCCTCTCTCTCTCTATCTCTCTCTCTATCACACACACACACACACTCTCTCTCTCTCTCTCTCTCTCTCTCTCTCTCTTCCCACAGGAAAGATCCACTCCGCGACGTCGTTTTCAGTCACAATTACGCCTCAGCTGCCACTTTCAGCTGATTCTTCAGTTCCGGTGCCCCTCTGAGTGATCAAAGAACTCAATCAAAAGACGAAGAAGACTCTGTATTGTATTGTATTGAAATTGTATTAGTTTTGTAAGTTCTGAGTGAGATTTGGGGCTATAAGAGTTGAGTGATGGTAACGGCAGAGAATGATGCGAAGGAGGAAGTGAGTGCGTCCAAGAAGGACTCTCCATCTCCATCACCATCACCATGGAAGACACCTCCGGCCGATGGGAAGGCGTCCGATGCTCCGGTGATGGGCGCTGATGCCAATTCATGGCCGGCTCTCTCCGACGCATCATCTAAACCCAATAATAATTCAGATGCAAAGCCGCCCTTACTTGTGCCGGTTAGTCACATACTTTTTCATTCTTGTTATATTGCCGTGGATACTTTCAAAGTTAACTAACTCATGATAAATGCATATATATGTAAATTTGTGAGTGTATTTTTTGAATGTATGGAAAAAAAGATCAATCTTTGATAAGCTCTAGCATTTGAACCCAAGTCACATAAAGTGGGAGCATGAGCAAGAATGAATTCGAGAGTGGGAGTGTGAGAGCGGCAGAATTAAGTTATAAATAACGAGAATTTGAGCGTGAGCACGCGTGAAGCGTCATAAGCAGCGAGAATTTGAGCGTGAGTACGCGCGAAGCGTGAGAGCGAGAATTTGAGCGTGAGCATGCGCGAAGCGTGAGAGCGACATCTATTAAGAATGATCTTGTTACTTAGATTTGAGCAATCACAGGACATAAATTTTAATTAGCTTGAAAACAATTTTTAACAAGTTCAGACTTATATAATATAATATAAGCTCTATTTCTATAATTTGTCCCTCTTCATTTCTGTTTCTGATATAACCTGAATCATTACCGTTCATATGCATTTCGTTATATATATATTTTTTATTCTCCTTTGTTACTAGATTATATGTCCACCCAAATGACCAAAATTCAGCTGTGCTTCCATATGCAGTTTTCTCATCCCGTAAAACTGCCAAAGAAGGAACAATTAAAAGGACATGCTGCTGAATATTTGAACCAAATATCCAAACCTTTTATTTTATTTTATTTAACCATTTAGTTCGAAATATTTGGTATATAGGGGCAAATGTGATGATCTGAGTTTAGGGTTTTGTGTGGGATTTTTGAGGGATCTTCCTTATTCTCCATTTCTGAGGTAACAATAGGACTTGGACAGAAATTCTTCTTTGTAGGGCTACAGTTTAATGTTCATTAGTTCTATTCTGTGGTATTCTTTGGGATTTTCAACTTGGAGCACTCTATTCTGAAGCCCAGGCGTTAAGAATGATTACAATTGTCTATATGGTCACGTAGGTTTATATAGACTATGCACATAGGTTCACTCCTACTTTCATGAACAATAAAATACTCAATTGTGAATAAACAACGTATTACTGAAGAAGAATCACTTGACTTTAAGAAATAAAATTTGGTAATTAACAACCCTTTGCTACTTCTAAGTGCATTGATTGCCCAATTGTTAAAAAGACAGAGATGTGCAGTTTTGAAGCCTACCCCAATGTTGCATTAATCTTTTTCTAGTTATAAAAGAAAATTGCTCTTCCAGCTCAAACCTAGCTTAAGTATTTATGAAGTATGCTCTATAAAAAGTGGTCTACCTTGATCAATTTTCATTCCATGTCCCAAAGTAATCCATCGGTAACATTAGTGGGAACGTAACTCATATGCCATTTATACATCAATGTATAATAGAGCCTAATACTACTTGGTCCTCAATGTAACACTTTTGCATTTTTGTATATGAACACTATGCAAATATTCTTGTTCATTCTTCAACCATGGTCATACATCTCTCTAACAATAAGCTTCTTAAATTGCCTATTAGATTGTTACTGCAACTTGCTTGAGCGTTTGTTGTATTGGTCAATGCCTCTTACAAAGCTTCATTTGGAACCTTTTACTCCAAAGTGGAGGCTTTTTATATAACAAGCCAAACATGCAATCATAACTTGAGACCAATAGTGTTTTTTTTTTTTTCTTGATAAGTAAAGATGTATTTGAAAGCGTTCAAGAGGGAACACATCCCGAAAAGGCTGAAGCCAAAAAGGGTCCTACGGACCCAAGGAACCCAAAAATCAACTCTCATCTATAGATTTACAATTTCTCCCCATCACCCAACTAAAGATAGCTAATAATATGAAATATCAAAGCCCCAATGGGAGATTCCTCCCCATCAAAGGATCTTCTTCTATTCCGCTCCTTCCAAATGCACCACCAAACGCAAAAGGGTGCAACCCTCCAAAAATCACGAACATGGGATCCCACGAAACACCCAAAATTAACATGGATAGAGTTAGTAAGAGAAGATACGATTGCACGTGGTTTGATTGTGGCCATGGCCTTAACAGTGCAGAAACGACCTTGCTTCTTGTTATTATGCTTGGGCCACTGTATGTGCATTTCTAGTTGCTATATTTGCATTAATTATATATATATAAAATGTTTAATTTACCATGTCTGTGTTAATCTTAATAGTTGTAAATTTGTTTTGGGTTTCAAGTGAAGCATCAATTTATGACCCACATTTTTATAAAATAAAACCTTGTGCTGCTTATCGTGACAAGATATAATCATGTGCATATTTGTACATACATGCATTAGTACTCTAAATGTGTGTGTCTGTATATAAATATACATTACACATTGTGAAATCAATAAATATAAATATACAGAGTGTGTCTGTATATAAATATACATTACACATTGTGAAATCAATAAAGATAAAATGTTCTGATCTAATACAAGAAAAAGGCAAGGGGAGTGATGACCCAATCCATAATGATCTAAGGCTTAGTATTCACTTTTTATTTGATTTCTTCTGAATAAAAACATTGCCCCAAGTTACAGTAGCTTTATTTATAGTGTTTTCCTCTTACTAATCAAAAAAAAAAAAAAAAAATTTATAGAGTTTTCCTCTTGTATCTTCTGGTCTTCCAGGGGTCAGGTGAGCAGCAAAAGTCGCATGGGCATGGAAACAAAAATGCTTTGCACAAGCATACATCAATAGGTCAACAAAAAGCAGGATCCAAGCGGAACCCAAATTATGCACCTCCTTTTCCTGTACCCTTACCCTTTCATCAACCATCGGTCCCACCTTTTTTTCATACCATGGTACCAGGGATGCATGTTCAATTTCCTGGATACGCTTACCAGCCTTTCCCTGGACCCTTTCCAAGTGTTGAAACTCAGTTTGTGAAGTCTGGTTGTGAGACTCCTGTGCAAGCTTTTGCTCCACCGGTCAATGGGGTAGATGCTAATATAAATGTTCCACCTCCACTACGTGGCAATCCCAATACGTATGTCGGCAATTTTCCTAATAGAAGAAATAATGTCCAAGAGCCTGGTGGGCATTTTAATCCTACATGGCATAATCAACGCGCATTTGGTCCAAGAGAGAACATCCACGTGCAACAAAATGTTGGGCCAAGAGCATTTATCAGGCCTCCGTTTTTTGGTCCAGCTCCGGGCTTCATTGGTGGACCAAATTTTCCAGGTAATAATTTGGCCCTAAGTTACATTAATGGATGCAAAGTTGTATATTTTATATTGATTCTCCTTTTCATCTGACAGTCTTAATCACTCATCAGCACAAGGATGTGCATTTTTTACCACACATTTGCAACCTTTATTTCTTTTTCTTTTTTCTTCGTTTATTTTATTTATTTTTGGGGGTTAACTCATCCAAAATGGTGTTTTTTTTTTTTTTGTCATGACACAGGTCCTCCTGGATCTGTATATTATCTTCCTGCTGCAGCTCCGGGCTCTATTAGAATACCTTATCCAGCTCACTTTGTTCCACACATTTTAAATTCTGGGAATTCTAAGCTGCCTTCGGAGACATTAGCTTTGAGAGCTAACATAGTAAAGCAAATTGAATATTATTTCAGGTGAGTCATCTGAGGGAAATTCTGGGCTTGCTTGGTTTATTTTCTGGGAATAGTTTTATGTTATCAGAGAATGGAAAAACTGAATACAATTCGAGAATTTGTTTGGTTAACAGTTGTTTTAAAAATGTTATGGAACTGAGTTGAAAAAAAGCCTAATTTGAGAGAACAGTCTTTATGTTCTTCTTTGAAAACTGTTTTTTGTAACCAGAGTTCTTGAAAACATTTTTCAGGTCCTCTGTATCTAGTTGGTTTCTTTAATCCCTTTCTACGTTAAAATAGTGAATGGTTTACCATTGTGTTAAATGTTCCATGCATCAATGTCATGCAAATCTGTAGCGTACATTGATGCACAAGCAAGGGCGGATCCAGGAATTGTTAATGGGGTGGGCTAATAATTTTTTGGGTGGGCTAATACTAGTAATAAATATATATATTTTTGGGTTGGACTAAAGTTACCTATAGTAAATTTTTTCTTTTTTTTTTTTTTTTGGGGTGGGCTTGAGCCCACAAACATACACCTAGATCCGCCGTTGTGCACAAGCACAATATCGGGTGGGTTTTCATCTCTTATATTTTTTTTCCCTTCTCTCTCCCTCTCTCTTGGATGATAAATGGCTGTGGTCTCTTTTAGTTTGCCTTTGAAGGTACTATCGCATGTGATAAGAGCTGCCATTTTGTTTAATGGGTTCTCCAACTTTGACACCTTCAATTCTTACATAAAAGATGATGGAGCCACTGGAACATGTAAACATGCTCATGGGACTGTCATAATAAATAGATTAGTTACTAAAAACGAAGGGCACTTGTTTATATAATACAGGCTATTATGTTACTTGAATGTTGAAATCTCTACTTCCTTGTGGCAGTGATGGAAATCTACAGAATGATCACTACTTGCTTTCGTTGATGGATGGCCAAGGTTGGGTTCCAATATCTATCATTGCTGACTTCAAAAGGGTATGTTCTGAAGAGTTTTGCCTATTTTTCTGCTAGAATGCTGCAAATTATTTACCCTTTTTTTTTCCTCAGACAAGTGATATTTATTATTTAACATAACATTATATATTCTCAAGTGTTCTATGGCTTGTTTTAAATTTACTTGACATATCCTGCTTTATTTTGTTGCTTGAAATGACACAATGTGTTTAGCTTATGATGTCTTCTATTATGAGTTGCAGGTTAAGAAAATGAGTACCAACATAACATTTATCCTTGATGCACTGCAAAATTCTACTGCTGTTGAAGTGCAGGTCGGGTTTTTTTTTTTTTTTTTTTTTTTTTTTTTACTCTCTTTGGTAATTGGCTTTTCAAATGAAAATTTGAGACAGAAAGTCTTTTTATTTTTGAAAATTACTGTTTCTTATGCTATGCTTGTTTTTTGAATATCCTTTTTATCACCTAGATTGACTGTTATTTCTATAGGGTGACAAGGTGCGACGACGTGATGAATGGTCAAAATATATTCCACCTTCAACTGATCAAACTCCCGAGGAACTACTCGTAGAGAAAGCTACCATTGTTTTAAAGAATAATGAGTTGAATGAAGGTGATTCGAAGGGCACCTGTAAAGGAACTGCTGAATTTCCATCAAGTAATGGAATTTTGGTGGAGCACTTGTTATCAGGCAACATTACTCAAAAAGTATCATTTAATGGTAATGGAGAAGACAACAGGGAGAAGAGTCTTTATTATGGTGAAAAACAAGTATTTGGTGTAGGAAATGATGATTCAAGCAGGGGATCGAACTCTGACTCAAACATCATGCCCTCAGGCCTTCGCACCATTGGTTGTTTCCCTGATACTGACTGTTCACTACGAACTGAACCTGCAACTTTTGTTGATCATGAAATCCATAAAACCGAAAGCATTGAAGTCCCATCAAATATGCCTGAACAAAATCTGGATGACCTATCTAATGATTTTGCAAGCACGTTCATGTTTGATGAAGAGCTAGAACTAGAGCGGAGAATGATTAAGAAGGATCATCTTTCTGCAAGAAGGTACTACATACTTCTGTATATGTTTGATGTCTTTCATTTTTAAATTAATTGGGAGTGTTTTGCTTTCCTTCTTTTTATTAATAGTCATATTGTGTTTCATTTACATATGTATTTTGCTTCAACGATATAAACTGCTAAGCACCAATTTCAATTATCAAGTTACAAGTAAGCCGCTGTGTAAAATTGGTTAATACTGCAACTTTTTATTTACATTCCTTTGTTTGGGATGTTCTGGAAGAAGAAAACGAGTAGAAAGGGGGAGGAGACACCTTCAAAGCAAAGAGAAAAGAAAGTGGATGAATTACTACAAAGTTGTTGTTATTTTTATTATTATTTTATTAAAAAAAAAGAAATCTTAACTCTTCAAAGCCTAAATTCTTGCTATTTAGGGTCGGGTATCCTATTGTCCCCTCTAGTCTGCTCTATCTGGAATCTTCATTCAACTTCTGCAGAAATGAAAGTAGCCATCTTTGCTAGCACATGCCCTTGACTGGCAGCTGGCTGACGTGCAGTCTAAACGAACAATACTTTCCTCCTTACCTATAAGGAGGAGCCTCCTCCTTACAGCTGATGTTGATATGATTGGATTATTTTAGTAGATCTGGTACTAGTTTAACCAACCTTAAAAATAGATAATTTTTCTTTCATTTTTAATTTTTTTTTTTTTTAATAGGGTAAAATGCTAAAAAAAAAAAAAAAAAAAAAAAAAAAAAAACCCTGAACTATACTCTATCTCACTAAACCTCCCTAAACTTTTATTTTTACAATTAACCCCCTGAACTATCCAATTTTTTGCAAAAATTACCCATGGGCAAGATTCCGTTTGGTTTTCCCGATTAAATAGGCGCGTGATCAACACATGCCAGGGCTGTAATTTTGGAATGACAAAGCTACCCTTATACAAATGTATAAAACCAAAATTTCCAAATTGATAACACTTTCCGGAACCAAAAAAAAAAAAAAAAATCCCTAATTAAAACCCTAAAATCGAGGCCACCAGCAGTTAGGGTTTCTGCGAATTGAGAAGTGAGCTTGAGCCACAAATGGGTTCATACAACAACACCATCTCGCACCGCCATTGGTGCGAAGTAAACACGGCGGTGACCTGGTTCTGTTTGTGTGAGAAGAAATACAGAGAAGGAGGGGAGGAGATGACCAGGAAGCTTATTGGACCAACCGCAATGAGTAACAATCACATAGCACCAGCAGCGATGAGAACAATGACTACCTCTAGCACCAGCGGCGAAGCAGCAGTAAGGACGCCGACCACCTCTAGCACCAGCAGCAAACCGACGACGAGGACCACGACCACCTCTTTATCAAATTCATCCCTCACCGCACGAGTTCGATTCAGACTCCGATTCATCTTCCTCGACTTATTCTTGTAGAATTGACATCCTCAACGACTGCGATTCATCTTCCTCGACTCATTATTCACCGTCTCGTTCCTACTTTCCACGCCCATGCCGGAATGAGATTCTCAAGAACGGAACGGCGCTAGCTTCATCGGAACTGCTGGGTTGGGTAGTCGTCAAATCAGACCTACTCGCCGGTTTCGGGATAGCAGAAACTTTCTAGGCTCGTGGGACTGTTTGGATGTTGTATGCTCTTGAGCTGTCGCCGGAGTTCATGGTCAGTTGGGGTTGATGGACCCTGTTTGTCACCGGTGTTGATGGATTCAATTTTTTTTTTTGTCCCCGGCACTGGTATTTTTGGTACTAAAACGAGGTGGGACACGTGTGTTGCATTAAATGAGGTGGGGTAGTGATAACTGATGTGCTGGCGAATTTTTATTGGTTCTTGAGATTTTGGTTGACACTTCGGCAGCACAAGTTGATAAAGCACCAATACGGCATCTTTCCACTAAGGGTAGTTTTGTAATCCTCGTTTTTTGGTGCCGGAGACCTCACCTGCTGTCCTTAAATGTAACTTTATCATAGTTCAGGGGGGCACTTGTTAAATCAGGGGGGTTTTCTGCAATTGGCTGAAAGTTCAGGGGGTTTTATACACTTTACCCTTTTTAATATTATAAAAGGACACTTCTTCCAATGATATTATGACACGCCAGCTGCAAGAAAGAGGTTCCTTCTTATAGGTAAGGAGGGAAGTACTGTTCATAAATAATTATAAGCTTATAAAAAATAGAGATTTTCAAGAAAATCTGTAACCTATATATTAAACCCTATGAAGCACCGATACGGCAGTGGAGGGCTTCGTATTGGTGTCGGACATGTGTCCGAAACTCCAATTGCCGTATCCTGTTTGTTTTTTTTTTTGTTTTTTAATATATTGGACACGGCTGGACACTGCTGGGCCATGCTGGAGAGAAAGAAGATGAAGAGGCCCCGACCATGTGATGAAGATCTGTGTAATAGTTGGTATGGGGATGAGATCTTCATATACCCATTAGGGTCCGGCTGTGTCCCTCTATCTATGATGAAGATTGAATAATCTGTGATGAAGATTGATGGTTACGTAAGATCATCGTAAAAAATTATCCTCACCAAATCATACATGTAGAATATTATATATCAATAGAGGGGATGAGAGGATTGCCGAAATAGAGGGGATGAGATGGACGTCGTTCAGTGAGACGAAGAGATGGGGGATGAGAGGGAGGGATTAAGAGGCGTGAATAACAAAGTGATCCGTTTGGAAAAAAAGAGGTGGGGAAAAAGCATCTTATCTTCTTTGGGGATCTGTTTGGTCACAAAGAATGTGTTTTGTTGAATATAAAAAATATATATTTATATATATACAAATATTTGTATTTTAATGTAGTTTATACCGTGAATCTTTATAAATTTTTAAAAGAAACATGGTCTGTGCTGGAACTAGTTGAAATGGGATAAGTCTATTGATATATGTATAAGAAATTGAGTAAAAATTAATTTCTTTATATATAATAAAAAATTATATTACTATTTTATTGCCGTATCCTTGCCGTGTCTGTGTCGCATTTTTTTTGAAATTTGCCATATCGCGGTGTCCATATCGTGTCATACCCATACCCCGTGTCTGTGTCCGTGCTTCATAGATTAAACCTATTCATTGGTTTATATTATATGGTTGACATTGCCCATGGGAATTTGTTTTATATGATGATACCATCCAACCCTTAATGAAGCTCCGATGTGAATGTCATAGTAGAAACTCATTCGACTAGGTTGGCCTGATTCTCCATCATGAACTTCTTCCATTGTAATCTATGGCAGTTGTGTTTTCCAAAAAGATCAATGTTGTCCAAGTATTTCAAGGTTCATTCAGTTATATTTATGATTTAAACTGTTGTTAAGATGAGCATCAGTTTGTTGTCTTGGCTTTCTGATCTTCTTTTAGCATAATGAAGAAGAAAACACCATTGTGATTACTCCATCTATCCCAATTTAATTGTCCATCTTTCTTTTCAGGATTCCCCATAATAGTTGTCCATTTTGAAACGTCAATGCACAATATTTTAAGCTTCCAAAATCCCCTTTTGAAGTAGTTATGAAAAAGTTCTAAACAAGCTAAAGTGAACCTCTTAAAATTTGGAGAATTAGTGTTGGAAACACATTTTTTCCACTTGGTGTGAATGCATTAAATTCTTGTCTCAAGAAGGAATTTTGAGTTATGGTCAGCTCATCTTTTTTTCTCCATTCATTCTTTGCACCTTGGATCTGTTAGATGCGAGCACAGCCATTAGATTGTGAGCTTTTTTGCCCCTACCTTGGGTAAACAGTTTCAATGAAAACGACTCCGGTTTTGACATCCGTTCGGGGAGCTTGGCTTTCTTTCACTTGCTTTTCATGAATTGAAATGTACTATTGCGGTGAAAATTATTGCGTTTTATCCCTTGATGTTGTGTAAACTGCAATAAGGATGCATTTGTTTTATTTGTTCACATAGATTACCAGTGAAATCAAGGTAGCAGTAAAAATGATATTTATTCATTGTCCCCTTGACTTTATTTATGTACTTTACTAATTGTCTTGTTTATTTGTGGGTGGCATTACTGCCCAAAGGATTGATGATGAAGATGATGAGATTGTCGTTGGTGATCAGGCTGTTGAGAGACTTGTAATTGTCACCCAGGTGAGGGTGTTGAGCATCAGATCCATTTATTTATGAAATTGAAACATTCTCAACATATTGTTCTTGAAAACTGATTGATCTTTGTGGTTTTACTTGATTCTCTTTTATTATGCTGAGATTTGCCAATTCTGTTCACAATTCTCAAGAACCAAAATAATGTTAGAGAAATGCAAAGGATCAAGATATAATTCCTTTTTTCACCATTAAGAAAACAATAAAACTTTATATCGAATGTTTACATTTTCATTCGGTCCATTTTAGGAAAATATATGTTTCTTTTATTTTAGTGCGGATACTAAGAACATGGAGTGAATTAAAGAGAATAGGGGTGCTAGAGGCTATGCAGAACTTCCTATATGTTTGGGAAATGCACCTAAAGGCAAAGCCAAGCCTTGGCTTGAACAATCTAATTGGTCTAAAAATTGAAAATCTTGAAGAGAAAGATATTACATTCATCCGTCATGTGATGGCCCAAGTTTTGTAAACCCGGTGCGTCAGTGATGACCAAAAGATGACCCGATAATGGATCCGAAATGCGGAAGCGAAAGATGAAACAACGGTCTCTAGAGATACAATTCGTCTTTAAGACACCAATGTGACCCTCAATGAGGTCACGGAACCCAAAGGAAACATATTCAGAAGTGTCGTTTCAAAAACGGACAAAAAGAACCTAGGGGCAAAATGGTCATTTTGCAAAAGTGGATTCAGGTGCTATCGAGCACACCGATGGAAAGGCAATGACAAATTAGTCAAGTTCAAAAAAAAGTTTACTCAATTTGGAGTCCGGACGGGGGAGAAAGGTCAAAAATAAAAATGATGTCGTGGCGGCCCGACGAGGACAACCCACCACTGCTGCAGCTGAGAGTAAAAACGGCCATCTAAACGGACTTTTTTGGAAAAACTCAAAGAATAAACCCCCCCCCCCCCCCTAAATCAAGTTTCCTACCCCGATCGCAGACGAAAACAAAAAAAATGCATTGTAAAATGCCCAGAATGCCCCCAAGAAAATCAGGTCAAGAGGAAAAAAAACTAATCCGAGCTATTGCCCAAGTTTTGGAAATAGGGCTTCGGGAGGTCTTTAAATTGCCTAAATTGAAAATGCAATCTTAAAATACACCCACAAGACCTCTGGAAGTTTCGGATCGATCGTGACGATTTTCAAAAAAAAAGTCGATGAATAGTACCAACTACATTTGTACTAAAAATTTGCAAAACCTGGCAGCAAGGATTTTCTGGAAAAGTATGGATTTTTGAGGGCGAAGATGATGTTTTCTGGAAAAACACAAAAAAGAAACCCCCTCAAAATCAAGTTTTCTACGTGACTCGCGAGGAAAAATGAAAAAAACTCATTGTGAAATACCCAAAATGCCCCTGTAACAGAATAGGGTCAAACTAAAAAATATGCAACTTAGGTTTTTGTTTCATCATGGAAGGTATTGTTTGCCAAAGTGAGCATGCAAGTGTATGTAATATGATAAAATAGATGTGCTACAATGGCATATGGCCTCATTACAATACATTTACAACATTTGACATGTCAAACCTCCAAGTTAGAAAAATTACATTTCATAAACAAATCATGAACATGCTAACACTTGCATGTGAACAAGAATGCTTCTAAAGAAGCTCAACTCAGCAAATCACTTAAGCAATTGCAATCTCCAATCTTGTATCCTGTACCTGAAATATGCCCCAGTATCGTAGGGGTGAGTAACATAAAGCTACTCGTAGGAAATGAGGATGCATCGACCTAAAGTTTTACAAGTTGCATGATTTAATTATTGTGGTTCATACGTCTATGTCAAGATGAGACTCAGGGAGCATCCTAGCTACCTAAGATCATTTCTAGCATCAATCACCTCATTCATGCAATTTTAACAACATAGGGTCATACTTACACAAAGCAACAACATAGGGGAGCATGCTTACACAAAGCAACAACATAGTGATTCTCAAGGTTATCAACTTGAAGTCTAAAATGCAACATCAACTAAATATAAAATTTAGCATAATTAGAATATCTAATACCACACATCAAGACATAGATTCTCTAGGTTATTAACTAGCAATCTAAAAGTGTGAAATCAACTAAATATATCAATTTAGTATGGATGTACTTAACAACATCAAATCGCCAATTACCAAAACCACAAGTCACAATTAAACATTGGTTGTCAACTTGAAATTGAATGCGAAATCAAATAGTGGAAGACTTGGACATCACAGCTCGGATTTCCGTCGAGACAAGGCAAATTTGGAGCTACTAACCCCTAGGCAGCCTACCCAGCGCGCGAACTTTTGACTTAGAGGACTCTTGTCCCTGTATTAGAGCCAAACCCTAGCCATCACAGCTTAACAATGTCCCAAGCAACTCCAAAATAAATAAGTTAACAACTTATATACGTATTAAACAGTACACGAAACTACCTTCATGCACAAGTAGGTTGTAACCACACAACACATGCTCTAAATCCACAACTACTATAGGATGGCAATGTCGAATCTTCAGAGCGCAATTCGTTATGCGCTATAAAAACATCACATGTCGAATCTTCAGTGCGTGATTCGCTACACGCCATAACAATATAATCCAATATTGAAAACATAATTTATAAATCTATTACAAGTCTAAAATCATGCTTCAAACATACTATCAATGCCAATTTAGAGCATGTAGAAACGGAATTTAATCAAATAAACTAATTAAATTCCCTAGCTTTCAAATCTCAATCAAATGACCCTTAATCAATGCATATTATACAATATAGCATAGTATATACATACATTCACTAAAATCTCAATTAGGCCAATGGCACAACAAGGTAGAATTTAATTACATCATGATAATTAAACTTCTAAATTTCAAAGCAACTTCAAATGGTCCCAATTTAATATATACTAGTACACAAGTCCTAGTCATCATGATTATCAAGTAAAAAACTTAATTGGGCCAAGGGAACAATTAAATAGATTTTAATTAATCATTTAATTTAAAATCTCTAGATTTTCATACTTGTCCAAATGCTCTCAAATTAAAGTATGTTAACAAACATGCTAAGACTTAATTTAAAAGCATACTGCATGTTCATTTCATGAAAAGTATGGCCACGGGATTTAATCTTTCACCAAAGATAAATATTAAATAAAAAGTGCAATTCTTAAATATTAAAACATGATTTTCTAGCATGCCATAATTCCATTCTAAGTTATACACATCCTTGTGAATTAAATTTCATACAAAGAAATAATTGATACTAATTTTCTAGAATTGATACAAGGCATGCAATTAAGTTGTATAATCATGCTAAACACTCAATACAACACACACAAAAGCTTAGAACATCCCCTACCTCAATTTGAGATGAAAATCTCAAAAGTCACCAAATAGAAACCGCTCCGAATCCGACGAAACTTCTAGGTTTTGTCGGGGATTACATCGTGCACATAACCCCCAAGGAAGCCCCATCAAAATCACAACTTGACTTCAAACCCAAATTCAAAGAATGGTCAGAAATGGGTTCTAATAAGGGTCAAAGAAGCGCGTAGTCAACACGAACACTAAACGCAAAGGCCCTTCTATGTTCTAACGAAGGAATGAAGCTCAAAAGAGAAGAGAGAAGGTGGCAACCTCTCTTGGGCTACCATGGAAGCTTCAGGTAGTGCAAGAGAGCGGGGAAGATGAAAAAATAAAATATCTCACCCCCCTTTTATAGAAATCTCAAAAAGTGCCCCGAACGGGCCCCGTCGGGTCCGAAAAAGTGAAATTTGAGCAGACGCGCTCAAATGACAAAACTCTGTGAACGAAAAAGATTCAAAATGAGAAAATATGAACAACGGAAGAAATGGCGTCAAAAACCGAGTCCCGAGCAAAAAGTTATGCCCCAAACAAGTTTGGCGCTAACAGGGGCCAAAAACCCTGAAACTGGAAAACAATGATCAGAAGTAATTTCTAAGAGTACACGACTCGACGAAAAGTGAAAATGAATCCCGTACGAAGATCTAGGCTCAAAACAAGGCATTTAACAATAACTTTCATTAATTGCACAATGGCCCCTCCAAAAAGTGAAAACTGCACTAATGGCCTAGAATGAAAATATCTTCCAAAAATATTTTCTTAAAAACTCCTGAAATAAAATATCTTCAAAAGATATTTACGAAAAATACCCTAAGAAAAGAAAATAATTTCAAAGAACTTTGCATCCTTGCCCTTATGGACACCGGGAGCAACCAGAGTACTTTCTTTCAAAAGTAAAGATACGTATTTCGTGGAAACCGCTCAAGATGGAGATACATGAAGTCAAAAACCAACTTCGAACACAAGAAGTGTGGTTATGCCAACAAATTGTCAAACGGGGAAAAGAGAAAGTAGGGAAAATGACGAAATAGGGAAAAGGACGAAAAGTGAATAGTGTCGAAAAACGAAAAATGTGGAAACGACTCGGTCCTCAAAGGAAGTTGTCAATCCACAGAAAAGAGTCTCGGAAATCACTCCAAAGCACTCCAGACGACGCTAAGCGAAGAGGAACTAAACTCAGAAATGAAAGACAACGGAAAAAAAAAAAAAAAAATATCCGTGAAAATCCGGGTCATTACACGTCAATTAGCAAATGATGGAAGAAAATTGCAGGGTTCTCATGGAGGATGATAACTTGTACATTATATGCCCTCCCTTTTCTTGGGTTTTCTGTTTGGCGCACCATTCACATTGGTATAGTGTTTTGGTTCTCACGAGATAATGGAAGTAATTAGTGATTTGGATTTTGTGCTACCTATCCTACTAAGTCGAGGAATTGACACATCTATTCAATTTTCCTAGTAATTTGCCATCATTAAAGTCAGCATGTAGTTTGGAGATTCACGTTATGTCCTTCATGAGCACTACTCTTGTTAACAAGTTCCTTTGGAGATTTTGAGGGAGATGTCAAACATATTTGGTTTTCAGAGGCTGTCTCCTGAATTTCTACCAAGTGGGAAATCTATTTATCAAAAAAAAAAAAAAA